TGATGTAGGGGATGGGGTGCCGGGAGTGGTGCAAGGACGAGCGAAGGGATGGGGTGCAAGAAGAGGAGAAATAAGACTTGCCGGGGGATGCAGTGGTGTGGAGCCATTGCCAGGGAAGACACTCCGGTCCCCGCATCCCCGCCCGGCCCTGCCAGTGCCGGCGGCGCCGCTCCTCCCGGTGGGGGCGGGCGGGGGCCGGTGGCTGCAGCGGGAGGCGGCGCCGGGGGGACGGGAGAGGGGGGGTCACCAGGCAGCAACAGAGCGCCGCCGGGCTGCGGCGTCACTGCGGGCCTGCGCCGGCCCCGCACCGGCACCGGACGGCACCGGGAGACACCGACAGAGGGAACGGCCCCGCGGCACCGGCACCGGGCGGCACCAGGACCGGCCACGGGAGCGGACCCGGTCCCGGTGCCGCCGCGCAGCCGCCGCCCTTGTCCCGGGCAGCTCTGAGCGGGGACACCGGGCCCGGCCCCGGGATGGGGCCCGGCGGCCCCGGGAGCGGCTGGCCCCTGGCTGGGACCCTGCTGGTGGCCGTGGCCGCCTCGATGGGTAAGAAAGATACGGGGACCGGGGAGGGCCGGTGGAACCGGTGCCACCCTGCGACTGGACACCGTGCCACCATCTGTGACACAGGGATCCCGCTGGGTGGGAGGGACTTAGTGCCACCAGCCGTGACTGTGAGTCGTGCCACACACAGCTCCTTTGACTGGGGGTTGCTTGCAACAAAGTGTCCCCCCGGGCACTGTGTCAACTCCCCCCAAACCCGCCTCCCATTTGCCGCTTTCGGGGTGACCCCGGGAGCAGCAGGCAGGGAGCCTGTGGCTAACCGAGCCGGGATGTCCAGCCCCGAGGAATTTGGGGGCTTCCCATGTACGAACCCCGTGCCTCAGTTTCCCCACTTGTCCCTGAACTGCCGTGATCCCATTTTGGGGTGTGTGAATAATGCCATGTGAGATTCCTGCAAAGCCCATTTCCGTGGCTGCCCGCCCACTGCCCCAGCGCCTCCGGCCATCCCCGGGCCTCGACCGGCAGCTATTTCTGGGAAGACAGGTGGCTTCGGACAGAAATAGAGTGGGAAGTGCCGCTGGAACACGGGGAAGGAGGGGAAGCTGGGGAGATCTGGTGGAATCTGAAGGGGTCGGAGGGCTGGGTGGGATGGAGGGGCGTCTGCAAGGGTGTAGGGCTGGATGGAACAGGGTATGGGGGTACATAGAGGCAGGGTTTGGAAGAAGTGGAGTGGGACGGAGCAGGATATGAGGGTACACAGGGGCAGATTGGAGCTGGCTTTTAAGGGATATGGGGCTGGATGGAGCAGAGCAGGGGTTTGGGGGTACATAGGGGCACAGTCTGTGGGTCCATGGGGCAGGACAGAGCAGGGTATAGGGGATGTCGGGCTGGGTATGAGAGACAGGGGGACAGGAAGGAGCAGGGTATTTGGGGGTGTATAGGGGCACACTTTGGGGGTGCATGGAGCAGGATGGACCAGGGTACAAGGGGAACAGGACACAGTGGGGTACAGGCTGTGTTCATGTGGGGGAGGAAGGGCATGGGGTGCTGCTGATGCCCCTGAGGGTGGTGGTGGCCAGGTGCTTCAAGGCCCCGGTGGTGGGTGGCTGTCCACAGTGGCCGGGGGCGAAGACTGCCTGTGGTACGTGGACAGAAACGGGTCATGGCACCCTGGCTTCGACTGTGAGTTCTTCACCTTCTGCTGCGGCACATGCCATCAGCGGTACTGCTGCCGAGACCCTCTGCGCCTGCTCACCGAGCGCCAGCAGCGCCACTGCCTTGCCTTCAGGTGCCACAGCCGGGGCTGATGGGGCTGCGGGCTCTCCTGGGCGGGCTGGGTGCTGGGACTGGGTGCTGGGCACTAGTACTGGGTGCTGGTGATAGGCAGTTGTACTGGGTGTTGGTCATTGTGTGCTCTGCACTGGGCAGTGGTGCTGGACACTGGTATTGGGTACTGGGCACTGGTACTAGATGTTGAATGCAGGTGCTGTGCACTGGTTCAGAGCACTGGGGAATGCTGCTGGGCACTGGGCAGTGCTACTGGGTTGCCAGGCTGTTGGCTCTGGGTGCTGGACACTAACAGTGGGTGCTGGGCATTGAGTGCTGGGTACTGGGCACTGGTACTGGGTGCTGGATACTGGTACTGGGTTGTTGGTCTCTGGGCAGTGGTACTGGGCGTTGGTGCTTTGCAGTAGGTGCTGGGCACTCCTACTAGGTACTGTGCTCTTTGTACTGGTACGGGGTGCCAGGCCCTTGGCATTGGTACTGGGTGCTGGTATTGGGTTCTGGGTGCTGGACACTGGTACTGGGCACTGCACACTGGGGGATGGATGCTGTGGATTGGTCACTGGTACTGGGTGTTGGCACTGGGTGCTGGATGCTGGTACTGGAAACTTACACTGGGTGCTGGGCACTGGTTACTGCTGCTGGGTGCTGGTCACTGGGCAGTGAGCACTGGTACAGTGCATTGGCACTGGGCACTGGGCACTGCTAATGGGTGGGCAGTGCTATTGGGTGCTGGGCAGCGGTCACTGCTACTGGGTGCTGATAGCAGTGCTGGACAATGTCACTGGGCATTGGTTCTGGGCACTGGGCAGTGTCATTGGGTGCTGGGCATGGGGCAGTGGGCAGTACCAGTGGGTGCTGGCTGGGGGTGTGTGCCCCGGGTGCCCCCCAGACCCTGCTCCCCACGCACGGGGGTCCCACAGCCCCAAGACCATCGCGGGCATCGCCTCAGCCGTGGTGCTTTTCATCGCCATCGTCACCACCATCGTCTGCTGCTTCATGTGCTCCTGCTGCTACTTGTACCAGCGCCGGCAGCACTCCCGCACCCCCCTGCAAGGTGCGGGGCTGGGGGGCAGGGATGGGGGTGCAGGAGGACGAGGTGGAGGAGGGTCCTGTAGGAAAAGAAGGTGGAGTGGGGTTGAGGGGGGCCTAGAGGATTTCAGGGGGAAGGGGTGTCTGGTGGGGGGCTGTAGGGATGGGGGATGCAGGGTGTGCAGGAGGAGAGGATCAAGAGGGTCCTGCAGGTAAGGAGGTGCAGGGTTAAGAGGACCTGGGGTAATGGGAGGATGCAGGAATGGGGGATGCATGGATGGGGGGGTGCAGGAGGAGGCTCGGTGCATGACGGTGCTCTAAGTACCCCAGTGGGGTGGGGGACTGGGGAGCCTGGACAGTCGGCCTGTGGGAATTGGGGGGTGTGTGTGTGGACTATAGGGGTGGGAGGTGCAGGAGGGTCCTGTAGGTAGAGAGTGGAGGGGTTTGGGAAGAGGCAAGGAGGGGGGGCCTGGAGGAATGTAGGGGGGGATCGGAATGTGGGGGTTGGGCAGCAGGGATGGGGGAGCTACAGGAGGATTCCAGAGGTACAGGGTGGTGGGATTTTAAGGGGGCCTCAAGGAATGCAGGGAGGCCTGGGGATGGAAAGGGGGAAGTTGCCGGGATGGGGGTTTGCAGGATCCAGTAGGTACAGGGTGAAGGGGTCTGGGGGCGGGGCTAGAGATGTGCAGGGTTGTTGGGGTAAAAGGTGGAAGCAGAACGGATGAGAGATGAGAGGGAGCAAAAGAGTCCCTCTCATGGTGGTGGTGGGTGGGGGGG